GTTCGTGGGCGACTCACCTGGTCCCACAGGGCCATCTGCCGGTTGTTCCATCGGGATGTGCCTGTGGACAGCAGCTTCTTCAGGTTCCCCAGAAACAGCACTTTGCTGGCCCGGTGCCCCTTGTAGCTGGCTTCCTGGAGGAACATGTGCAGTCAGGGACTCCCCTGCCTTTGCTTATGCTGGTGCTTCACCTGGAGTGCCTTCCTGGTTCACCCCAGCTCTTCCTGGAAAATCCTTCCAGAGTTATACTTCTGCCCAGCTCCATGCTCTTGTTGAAAGATTATTGAACACCCACTATATGCAAGGCATGGGGCTGGGTAGGATGACTGTCATCTGGGTTATCTTATTTAATCTTACGAGAGGAAGGACTAACTGTTGCCCATTGTTGCAGATGAGGAAACAGAGGCTTAGACACCTAAAAGTGCTTGATTAAGGTCACACATCATGGATCAATAGTATCCTGAGGTCTCCAACCCCATGTCTTGCCTCCTGACAGATCTGAGGCACACCGACAAGTTTTGGCGTTAGACCAGGTTCAAATCCCAGCTTTCTGTGTGGGCAAGTTGCTTACCCTCTCTTCCCTCAGTTTTTTCTCATCTGGAAAATGGGGGTGACTCATCCTACCTGTGAAGCCTTGGCCAGAACACTGCCATCATTCCTGCCCTGTTCTCAGAAGCCTCTGCCATCTCCACTGCACTCCTTGCTCTTCTGACCACAAGCCAGACCCCAGCCTAGCACTGACCTGAAGGACGGACCCTGCTCGGGGGTCGAGAACCCGAATCTTGCGGTCTTTACAGGTGGTGGCCAGCAGGCTGCCATTGGTGTTGAAGGACATGGAGAGGATCACATCTTGGTGACAGTCAATTGTCTTCACGGGGCTCTTGATTACAGACTCCTTTGTGTCTAGGTTCCAGACCATCACCTGCATGGCAGAGAGCCAGCTCTCAGCACAGTGGCTACCCCCACTCCTGGCCCCCACAGTCACACGCTGGCCAGGCTATAGTGAAACATAGTATCCCCAGGAGGGAAGCCGCAGATGGCACTCTGGCCAGGAGGCCTCAGGTGGGAGGATGGATCTGCTGGCTGAAGCTGCCATGTGTCAGGAGGGGGATGCCGGGAGTCAGGCTGTCTGGCAGTGAAAGGAAAACACCATCTGCTTTGTAGCAACAAAACATCCATACTGTGAGGACTCCAGGGAACCAGCTAGTCCAAGGGGTTTTGGACAGTTATTAGCAGCAGTTTCCACCTCATATAGATCGACAGGGCTGTCATGTTTAGTTGCACAGGCTGTGCACTGCACAGTTCCAGGGCAGTCCATTCCCATAATCCATGATATGAATGGTGCCCCCTAGAGTTGTGTACAGAATAATCTGCACGACCTCATGCAGTAGCCTTGCAGACACACCTGCAGACATAGACAGATAGAGGAGAGGACATATGGACACTCAAAGAAGGCCATGGAGTTGTGTACAGAATAATCTGCACGACCTCATGCCTTGCAGACACACCTGCAGACATAGACAGATAAAAGAGCACTTCTAATCAGAAGGGGAAAAAGGCCCTCCCAATCACTCCCATTTTGTCCATCACAGAGGCCCTTGAGGTGCCTCAGTAAAGCCCTATAGAGTTGTGAAAGGAAGAGTTTAAAAGCCACAGCTATAGTCGCACCAACCCCGTATGTGTACAGATTGCGAATCTGAGGCCCAGAGAAGACATGGGATGTTCCTGGGTCACACTGCACATCAGAGATGAGTTGGAATAGAATCTAAGTCTCCTATACTGTAGATTTCCCCAGTCCACACGGCCCACAGCCTACTAGCTTAGCAGTCACCTGAGCAGGGGGAAGCTTCTCATTGCAAGGCCCAGCCCATATCCTCCAGGCAGACTAAAGGGTTGACTAGCGTCCCGCCTCCCACCCCAACTCATGTCCACCTGAAACCTCAGAATGTGACCTTTTATGGACAGAGTCTTTGCTAATGTAATTAGTTACAATGAGGTGATATTGGATTTGGGTGGACCCTAAATCCAATGACTGGTGTCCTTATAAGAAGAGGAGAGGACATATGGACACTCAAAGAAAGCCACGTGATGATGAAGGCAGATTAGAGTGATGCAACCACAAGTCAAGGAATTCCTGGAGCCACTAGAAGCTGGAGGAGGCACAGAAGAATTCTTCCCTCGAGCCTTTGGAGGAAGTATGGCCCTACTAACATATCGATTTGGGATTTCTGGTCTCCAGAACTGTGTGAATAAATTTCTGTTGCCTTAAGCCACTAGTTTGGTCATTTATTAGGGCAGCCCCAGGAAGCTAATACACAGACCTACCTTGTAGTCGTAGCCAGCGCTGAAGAGGATGTTGGCAGCCGTGGGGTGCCACTCCACCAGGCCCACTCTGCGGGAGTGGCCCACCAACTCCTTCCTGCAGGCTGTGAGGTTCCTTGACAGCAGCTGCTTGGGGATGTCCCAGATCTTAATCTGTCAGGGATACAGGGCCCGGGGGTAGTGTTAGCCAGGGGCACCTTGGCATTCCTCAGCAGAAGGGCTGGGGAGTGCTCTCTGTATTCAACTCTCACTCAGTGGAGGGGAAGCTGGGGCCCCACAGAGGGACCAGGGCTTTGCCAACATCCTCCAAGCCCAAGGAGGGGCAAGCACTGACCAGGGATGAATCCAGGCCTCCCCATTTGCCCCCTGGTAATCTCTGCCATCCTAAGACCAGTGAGCGGGGTGGTGGGCCACAGGCCTGACTTCCAGGCTGGATGTCAGAGCAAATCTGCCTCCCACCATAGAATACTCCCAAAGTACAGTGGTCTACCTCCCCCCACCTTGTCTCGAAGGCCCAGGGTAGAGCCTCAAATGCTAGGAAGAAGAATTTGTGCTGCATCCTTAGGGAACCAGGGAGCCAGCACAGTCTCTGGAGCAGAACAGAGCAGGGACAAGCACTTTCTTTTGGAGGGGCCCCCTTTATGTTCCTCAGTATCTCCTCTATGGAAAATGACACGAAGACTCTTAGAATTTTCTACCTGCTTCTCCTGATGAACTAGTCCGTTTTCTTTGATCAGAAGTGAGGATTCTGCAATACATTCTATTTCCCTTTTCACCTTGGCTGCCAGGCAGCTCTGAGCTAAACCTGGAGCTCAGCAGCTGTAACCCTCTATTGCTAATGCTTCTAGTGGTATTTCCTCACTTCCTCCATCTGTGGCTGCTGCACTTTAGGTAACAGGCATAGCTCAGTGGAAAGAGACCGGGCTCTGAAATAAGACATCGGTTTGAAACCTGGCTCTGCCTCCACAAACTCTGTGACCTTGGGCAGATAGCTTCACCTCTCGGATCCTCGGCTTCTTCAGAAATATATTGTACCTTATGAGGTTGCTGGGAAGGAAGACTGAGTGAAATGATACATGTAGAGTCAGGAACACGGTGGGCTCATAACAAATGGTAACTATGACTTTTATCCTTATTTGAATCATGTGATCTTATCTGTGTCTGTTTTAAGCCATATCCACCACATTCTAGAATTATAAAAAAATAACACTCGACATTATGGGAGCAGGGACTATGTCCCTGGTACAGAACAGGAGCTCAAAAAAGTTGGTGAGGCTGAAGCTTTTGTGATGGTTTTAGTGTCCATATTCATATTGGCTCCTACTCCCCTCCTTTTAAAATTTGCTTCCCAATTGTCTGTGAGATTAAGTGGCATAATATTTTCTGGCCACAATAAAAATGCACCTCATAGCATTTTATAGTTCCCCAGAAAGAGTGCCTTTCCTACTGGAATATGAATTCATTCGATCTTCACTAGACAGTTGAGAGCCATTACGTGCATTTTATAGATGGGAGAACTGAAGCCCAGAGAAGGGAGGGGTGGTCCCCAAGTCCCATAGAGCCTAGAACCTCTCAATCTAACTTACTCCCTTCCCACAGAGTAACCTCACCTCAAAAGTTGGAAGCATCAGAGCTGAGTTCAGACACCATTCCATCTCCCTCTGCCCTAATCCCTCTCCTCTTGGTCAAGGGAATGACCTCATGCACTGACACTCACCATGGTATCTTCAGAACAGGAGGCAATCTCAAAATCATCAAAAGGGTTCCATTTGATGTCTAAGACGTTCCCTCTGTGCCCGCAGACCTTCGGGTAGTGGGGGTCCAACTTTCCCGTCTGCAAAACAGTGCCCAGGAGGGTTGGAGCGGGAGGGGATTAATTCCACTTACCATCTAGATGGTCACTCAGTCAGTCAGGAATCACCAAATAGACAGGAAAATGTAAGGGTGTGAATCTAGGACTTACCACTGTTCCCTGTGGTAAGTGATGTGATGTGATCTAGGGGAGTCGCATTACTTCTCTGAGCCTCAATGTTTTGCTCGATAAATTGGAGACCATGATAAGTATTTCACAGGTTTGGTGCGAAGCTCATAGGAGATGAGGTGTGGCAAGGGTCTAGCACAGTGTCTAGCACATAGTAGGTATTCAATAAAAGGACACTTCCCTTCATGCACTGCTGGTGGGAATGCAAAAATAGTGTAGCTACTTCGGAAAACAGTGAGGCAGATCATCAAAAGGTTAGAGTTACCAAATGACCCAGAAATTCCACTTCCAAGTATATCCCCAAGAGAAATGAAAACATAGGTCTACAAAAACTTGTACATCAAAAACTTGTTCATAGCTGCATTATTCATAGTTGCCAAAAGGTGGAAACAATCCAAATGTCCATCAGCAGATGAATAGATATACAAAATGTAGTATATTCATACAATGGAATATTATTCAGCCAAAAACATAATGAAGTACCGATGTATGCTACAATATAGATGAACCTTGAAAACATTATGCTAATTAGTCGGATATGAAAAGTAAAATTAGTCAGATGTAAAAAGTCACAAAATATTGCATGATTCTGCTTAGATGATGTACCAGATGTGATTTCATTGCTTGAGCAAATTAATACATCCTTTGGTTCCTGGTATTCAAAACTCTGACTAATGCATATGAAAAATTCAGAATAGGTAAAGCCATAGAGACTAAAAGCAGATTAGCGGTTTGGGGAAAGGGGTATGGGGAGTGACTGCTTAATGGGTATGGAGTTTCTTTATGGGGTGAGGAAATTATTTTAAAATGAGATAGTGGTGATGGTTGCACAACCGTGGAATACACTAAAACCCACTAAATTGTACACTTTAAAATGGTGAATTTTATGGTATATGACTTATATTTCAATTAAAAAGAAAGGCCATTTACTTCCCTTCCCCTCTCTCCTGCTGAGAATTCCTGTATAGGCACTGAGAGGATACACAGGTCCCACAGCCCATTCCTCATAGCTCTGAAGCTGAGATTTCCAACTGCACTGACAGACCTGGATTTCCTGGATCATGGGGCAGCCACACCAGTTCGGTCACAGAAACTTGAAGCTGGCAAGGAGGAACCAACACACTCATTTTGCACATCACACTGCATGGTTCAAGCAGAAGAGGAAGCAGGACCCAGGCCCTCTGCCTGCCTATGCAGGCATGGCTCATATCATTTGGCCTCAGGTTCTGGAGCCCACCCACCAGAATGCTTCCCTGACCACTTTGACATCTAAATGAAAGAGACAGCTGAGAAGAAAACTGGCCAACATCCCTTCATTCAGCAAATCTTTATGAGGAACCTAGGGAACAGGCACCAATCAAGGTACCTGGTGGGCACAAGATACAGTACTTGACCTCGAAGAATCAACAGTCTCAGGATTTTTAAGGAGGAACTTTCAAGAACATAATGAACTCAGAGAACACCCACTGCCTCCTTCCCTCACCTCCCCAACTCTGCAGAGACCACTGCACTTTTACGGGATGACTCAAGACAGAGCAAAGATGCAAGGGTGATCTCTGACCTTGTTTAATAAGGCTGTAAAGCAGGCAGCTGCTACGAGAATACACACATGGCTTCCCCGTCACCTCAGGCAAACTAGGAGACAGACAACTGAACTCCTGGTTTGTAGAAGCTTTACGCATGCTATTTAGTAGCTCTGCAAACAAAGACGGTGGTCCTGGGCTCTCCTTCAGAAATACTCTGCCCTACCCAGTTCTTGCCCCTCAAGAAGGGGTTAGACACCTCACCCTAGACTGGATCCCTTACTGGAGGAGGAACCCTATAAAGAACATTATTTGACAAATTAAAAAGTGAACGGTAGATTAAAGTATTGTTGCAATGTTAAACTTACTACTGATAACATACTGTGGTTATGTAAGAGAGTATCATACTTTTAGGAAACATTCAAGTATTTAGGGGTAAGGAGCAAAGGTATATAAACCCTGCCTTCAAAGAGTTAAAAAAAAAAAATTATACCCTCACATACACATTCACAGAGAGAGAAAAGAAGGTATCTGGCCTGGTGTCGTTCGATAGTAATGTATGAGGAAGTGGGCAAAAGTTCCATCTCTTTCAGGTGGTTCTGCCTTCTCCGTGGCTGAAAAAAGTGGGTCCCTGGACAGAGAAGAGAGGTGCATGCTCTTTGCTCCCTGCAGTAGGAGCAGCATCAAGATCCAGGACCTTGGAAAGATAACATTGCGCCCATAGGCCCTGACTCTGGTCTGCACGGGACTGCTGTCCAGCTGCGGACCCCTTGCTTAAGCCGCCGGGCCTTCTGCATGCTGTCATCAGGTGAGCTTTCAAGAACTAAAATCTGATCGTGTCTGCTTAAATTCTGCAAGCCTCTTTTTCCTCATCTATAAAATGAATGATCATCTCTTCCTTACAGGATTGTCATGGGGGTAAAATGAGATATTGTGCATGAAAAGCCGAACAGTGATGTCCTCTAATAGTGCTCATGTAAGAGTAGTTATTTTATATGTGTGTGTGTGGGGGGGTACATGCACACGCACATACATGTGCATGTTGGAACTGAGAAAGACTGAAAGGAAATGCATCCAAATGTTATTCACGATGACCTCTAGATGGTGGGATAATTGGGTGGTTTTATTATCTTCTGTGTTTTTAAAAAATTTCCCAAACTTTCTAGAAAAATGGTGTAAATTTTGCAATAAAAAAAGGTATTTAGGACAAAATTCCAGATTTTGAAAAGATGGGTCTTTCCAGGATTAGCCAAGAATTTGTTATAAAACTGCAGAACCTGAAGGGCTGTTCAAGAGACCAATAATGGTAAAAACACAGCAAAACTCTTATCTTGCACTGGTGGCAAGCATCACTAGTGGGTCACAGCCCTTTCTCACTGGTCCCAGACTGGAGGAGGGACTTGCCCAGGGTCACGGGGAATGTGAGGGGCAGAGCTGGGCTGGAGCCCAGGGCTCTGGCTGCCAAGTATGAGTCTGTGGTGTCCTTATTGTGCTCTAAGGGAGCACCAGCCCTCTCTGAGTCAGCATCCTGCCCCCCTTCCTGCAGACAGCCTTTCACTTCTCTTGGATCATTTCCTGGGTCGAAGGGCATGAGCGGTACTGGGTCTCTTGCTATGGCACACCCACATTGCTCTCAGGGCCTTTATCTCTACACCCTGGCCCAGGGCCATGACCCAATTTCTGCCCTGAGGGCTCTTCAGAAGAGCTGATTGTTAGGCTGGCCTTGGCCAACAGGAAACAAACTGCCCAGGAGCCCCACTCAGACCCATACCTCCCAGGTTGGCCCAGCCATAAACTCAGGAGGTGCTTCAGGCTCAGAGGGGCAGCTCCTCACAGGTCTGAGCTTGGGCCAGCATTCTTCCCAGGCCTCTAAGAGCAGAGGCCCCAGCCCCAGACAGCTTCTCCTCCTCCCCAGAGAACAAAGGATGGCTGGTCCTCCCCTCGAGTGCTCTGTGTTTAAATGGGTTTCATGCTAAGGACCCACATTAACAGACATTAAGCCAGTCTGATGGGCTATTGATTGAGCTGCTAAAAGCCCGGTCAAGGAAGGGACATTTATAATCAGGAGGCCACTTCCGCCCTTCTGTCCATTAGGTCAGCAGTCAGCCAGGAACAAGCTTCTGATTTATGGGAGACATAAGCTCTAAATCAGGGGAGATACATCTGCTCTCCTCGCAGACCACAGAGAACCTTGGCTTTGGTGCAGGAGCTGGCTACTCAGCTTGGAGAGACGCCACCTCTAAATCCCTGCCAGGCTGCCCTGGACAGATGAGGTACACAGGACTGCAGGACCCTGGAGGGGAGAGCTAGGTGGGTTGGGGATGCTCAGGGGCCAGACCTTAATTGCCTGGACAGTAGAGCTGTGAGGTCATTGTCATGACCCTCAGGGCTCACAGGGGAAGCCATTTCCACAAATGTCATAGTCATGGCCTCAAGTGACCCTCCCAACTGCCCAGAGCAAACATGGGAGGCAGGGGTGGTGGGGCAGGCGGAGGTAGTATGCACAGTGTGAGAAGATGTTAGGCGGGCAGGCCGACTCTGGCTTCCTGAGTTTAAATTCCTGCTATAGCACTTACTGCAATGACTTTGGGCAAGTGATTTCATTTCTCTATGCCTCAGTTTCCTCATCTACAAAATGGTAACAGTACTAGGACCTTACAGGGTGAGTATGAGGATTAAATGAGTCCATACTCATAAAGTGCTTAAGACTGTGCCTGGGACATGGTAAGCCTGCAGTAAACTCACCAGTCTAAGTGCATCAGAGCTAATCACAAGTATTGTTGCTCAGGATGTTTCGGGGGCCCAGGGATGTACTCAGTGCGAAGCCAGACTGTTCGGCAGGGGGACTCCCATCACTTTCCACCCAACTGATAGGCAGTCGCTCCAGGGCTGCCCTCACTGAAGAAATCGATGCCTTGATCATATTCCAACTGATGAACTCAAGCACATTCTCACTCTACAAGGAACAGGTTTGTAAATGTTAGGAACCATAACTTATGTGTCATTTATGTGCCAGGTCCCGTGCTGGGTGCTGTGTTCACATTATTGGATCAATCTCTCAACCACCCCAAGAAGTAGTATAAGAATTCCTATGTATAATGCAGAAACTGGGGATCAGTGGGGTTGATAATCATGTGCTAAGGGCCACAGAACCAGTCCACGGCTGAGCCACGAGAACCGGGAATGTTTCCTCTCACTGCCTGGTTTGCCTCTTGCTATCCTCACGCTGTAGGTATCATCAGCATCACGCAGGCCTTTCACTAAAGACCCACTGCATGCCGGGTCCCACGCTGCCTGAATGTGATGGCAGAAGATGAGTTACTCACGGGC